TTTTTTTTTTTTTTTTGAGACTAAGTCTCGCGCTCTGTTGCCAGGCTAGAGTGCCGTGGCGTCAGCCTAGCTCACAGCAACCTCAAACCCCTGGGCTCAAGCAATCCTCCTGCCTCAGCCTCCTGAGTCTCCCAAGTAGCTGGGACTATAGGCATGGGCTACCACGTCTGGCTAATTTTTTCTATTTTTAGTAGAGACAGGGTCTCACTCTTGCTCATACTGGTCTCGAACTCCTGAGCTCAAGCGATCCTCCCACCTTGGCCTCCCAAAGTGCTAGGATTACCGGCATGAGCCACCTTGCCCGGCCTCAATAAATGTTAATATTTAATATATAAAATTTCAAAGTCAGTTTTATTAGGTTAAAATCAAAATAGTAACAATAAATTAAAAGAATTAAAAATGTGACCTGTGGTTACTTAATACTCTCCAATATTTTTCTCTTTTTGATAACGTTTATCATGGCAACTAGCTTTCCAAAAATGTCAAGTCATTCAGGTCAAATATGAGAATCATCTACTAACCTAAAGGACATTAATTTCATTCTTTCATAAAGTAAGTAAAATAGAGTGTTGCAAGGAAAACTTTAATTTTTTGTGAGAGTCTGGGAAGAGAAAACTGGTACAAGCTCACTTAGCTTTTCCTATGATTCAGGATTTGGGAACTATCACCACTTGCAAACATATGCTAGTCTTAACATTTTTAAAGTTCGTAATCTCAAAGTTTAGAAACAACACAAATATAATAGGTCAATATTAATTTAAGGCAGAAGTCCTCAAGTTTTCAATGTATAATAATACATTAAACTACTATATCCTTTGTTGAAAGAAAGCTTAAATCATCTCTCGTTAAAATTTGAGAATTAAAGAGAATAAAAAGGTAAAAACAAAAACCCTCACTTACTTCTGCAAAAGTGAATTTTTGAACTTTTCAGCATTCAATTCTATTCTTAATTGTTCTGCACTCTTTCTAGAAGCAGATAGCAATACTGAATGCTTTACCAGTGCCATTGCTGAAGGTCTTCTCTCTGGATCTGGATGAATCATAACCTTAAAAGAGAAGGAAAATTAAGGTAAAGACAGGCAATTTAGTAAAATACTGAACCATGTCAATAAAGTGCCTCGTATATAAAATGCTCACTTTTAGCAACTCTGTAAATTCTTGAGAAAGCACTTGTGGTATCCGAGGTAATCTACCCTGTCTGATTTCATGCCATTGGTCTCCGTTTCTGGGAAGAGGTTCGGCACCAGCAGCACAGACCACTGTGAGGGCAAGGGCAAAAATATCTGCTTTTGGTAGATGGTTATAATTCTGTAAAATTAAAAAAAAAATTTTTTTAAGGGAATGTAAAACCAGTCAAAATAAAATAAGATTCTACTTCAGTGATGATTTAAATGAGAAACAGAACTAAATTAAAATGTTCAATGCTACATTCAGGTTTAGGAACTATTCAAAGAATAGGCTGCTAAATTTGGAGAGATTTCTTTATTTTTCAAATTACAAAGTGTATGTACTCTCAGGCGGAAAATTTAAATACATATCTAAAACAAAATGCCTCTTCTTTTTCACTAGCCCAATTCAACTCTCAAAAGAAACTCCTCTCCCTCTAAGGATTCATATGCAAACACAAAATCACTTGTCGCACATGGACAGGTTACAATTATAATAAAGCAGACAAATGTATATATAAAAAGGGTAAGGGGACCATATAATTACACTTTATATATTGTTCTACTTATTCTATTTTCATTCAAAACTCTTTTTTTTTT